GCCCCCTGCCCGCCGCGGAGCCCCCTGCCCGCCGCGGAGCCCCCTGCCCGCCGCGGAGCCATGTCGCGGCCCAGGCACGTCCCGCCCAGGCAGCCCGGGAGGGGCGCGGGGGGCTCGGGCACCGCCGCGGCGGCGGCCCGCGTCCGAGGCGGCAAAGGTCTGAGGGATGTCCGCGTGGACGAGGAGGTGGAGATCGCGGTGAACCTCGCTCTGGAGCGGTTCCGCTACGGAGAGGACACAGGTGTGTGCGGCGGCCCGGCCCCGGGGAGTGGCGAGGCCGGAGCGGGGCCGGCGGACACCGGAGCCCGCGGGCTCCTCCCCAGGAGCGGCGTCTGCCGGGCCCTGACCCGCCCGAGCGGGGCGGCGGCGCCGCCGGGACCCCTTGCGGGCGTGCAGGGGCAGCCAGTCCCGGTGTGCTCGGGAAGCGTGGTGGGTTCGGGGATTGATAAACCCTCGTAGGATCGAGGTAATATGTCAAGAATACTGCCTCCTGCGCTGTTACTTGTTTTTAATTATCTTTCTAGAAATGGAATTTCCCTCTTCTTTCACTAGTACTGAAAGAGCGTTTGTTCACCGGCTCTGTCAGTCTCTTGGACTGATATCTAAAAGTAAAGGGTAAGTTGGACTCTGATTTTTATGTATTATTTTCTCTTTTTGGTGCGAATTTATGGAATTTCATTGCTAGCATGAAAACGATCTGTACTTCTAGGATATCTTGAGCTGTTCTAGGGAATAGTACTAGAAAAAATAAAACCTTTATAATGTAGACATAAAATTTAGCACCTGATGTCTGCTTAAAAAAACCTTGTGACATACTAGTTTTGAGGTAGCTTGCTCCTGTGGATTCCATGTCCATAAAAAAGACTTCTCTCCAAGATGTGTTCTGCCTTTTGGTTTTTTTCATGCACTCCTGCATGTTCAAAGGCTTTGCATAGAATCTCACACCTTGACAGATGAAATGTAACTTCGAGCAGCAGGTCCAAAAGGGTGCCTCTGTTGGGAAGTGCAGAAGAGGGTTGGAGTGTTGCCAGCAGGTGGAGAGAGGTCATTCTTGCCCACTACTCAGAACTGACTAGGTTACATCTGGAGTGCTGTGTCCAGTACTGGGATCACCAGGAGGACAGAGACCTAGACGGGGAGAGTTCCATGAAGGACCAACAACGTGATGAAAGAACTGGAGCATCTTCCCTTTTAGGAAGGGGTGAGAGAGACTGTTCAGCCTGGAGGAGACAAGGCTCAGGGGGATCTCATCAGTGTATATAAATACTTAAAGTGAGGATGTAAAGAGGACAGAAACTGAGTCTACCAGAGTGGCTCTGCCTCTCCTCACAGAGACTGCCTGGGCCAGCACCTGGGTACCTGCACCACTCTTCTACTTCTGACAGGAACGGGGCACTGAGCTCTTAGTGTGACCTTCTGTTCTTACCCTGAGAAGTCATTTTCAAAGGGTTGTTATGTCATTGTAGCCCAGGCACAAGATGGTTCTGTTTCAAATGTGTTTACAACTACTCTTTACATTTCTGTGTCCGAGTTCAGTCTGAGGACAAATGCAGTGTTACAATTAAGTGTTATGGCACTATTTCTAAATAGAAAATTTTTGATAATGAACATCATGGGGATCTTGATTTGTTTTACTGGATTTTGTTAAGGCTTGGAATGTCACTAGCAGGCAGCTTGTTTGTCTGCTTTGGCTATTTGTTGATTTTTAACCTCTAGATCTCTTAAGTTAGTCTAGAAATTACTTCTGTGTAGTAACTCTCAGTATTGATTGATAGAGGTGGCTATATTTTGGGAGGCAAATGCAGTAATGGACCTTTAACCAAAGACAGCAGAAGAGTGTCACATTACAATTGTAAGGTTGTGCTGAGCATAGTGATCTGAAGTCTGCAGTGTCTGCTGCACTATCTCATGTGAACAGTGTGCCTTTGGTAGTGGATATTGGGGATGTTGCTATTACTTTGGTGTGCGTTATGCTACTTAGGGCATAATTTGGAAGTTTCTAGTTATAACATTATATTTGAAAAAAATTTGACAGCTATCTTGAAAAAATTATGATCAAAGATTGTTACATTTGAGTAACTAGTTTGCTTATTCCTAAAATGCCTTTTTTTTTTTTTTCCCCAGAAAAGGGGCAAATCGATACCTAACTGTAAGGAAAAAGGATGGATCAGAACTAAAACGTGCAGTAATGACTTGTGCCTTGACTCCTGTTACAAAACATGCTGTTTGTACTTTAATTCGGAATTTTCCTGTCACAAATAAAGAACGAACAGAACTTCTGCCAAAGACAGAGCGAGGAAATGTGTGTGCTGTTGAATCTGGTATGTTCAGTATGTCTTCTGATATGGACTTGTCAATCAACACTACTTGTCAAAACAACGTACAATCCAACCACAAAACAAACCCCTCTGTATTCTGTTTCCTCTCTTGCCCTACCTGACACCCTTCCCTCGAAACAAACCCATTAATTTTCTTGGCTTTTAATTATAGGGTTTTTTAAAACTGGTGTCTTGAGGAGCTCAGGCAGTCATGTCACTCACATTGCAGTGTCCCTCTTGTGTCAAGTTAGTTTTGAATCTTTGAGCCAGTTCCAGCCAAATTTTTTAGAAGTACGTTTCTGAAATGTGGGTTCCTGCAAGTTCCATGAGGTGAGATTGAAATAACAAGTGTTAATGTGACTCTGTGTAAGAACATCTTTATGAGAAGATGAGACTGGCTCTTCTGCCTTTTGAAATCTGTGTTCTTGATAAAAGAAGAACTTTGTGTTTTGTTTTGTCATCTTCTAAAATAGATTTGGTCTCTAAGAGGCTATTACCTAAACTTCTTGATTTCTAGGGTATATAAGAGTTTGCTGGATATCATATATGTATATATCTTATAATATAATATTGGAGTTTTTTAAACAATGCTTTTAATAACATTGTTTCTTTAACATTGTAAGAGATATGGTGCATTTCTACACACAAATGAGTGTGGTGAACAGAAAACATACCAGTATGGCTTGTTTCATCAGGTATTTCTGATTCATGATGTTCATGCTTTAAGTGCTTCCTTTGCTAGTTTTCCTTTTCAGTTGTTTAATTTGTTTAATAGAATTGTTTAATGAACAGAGTGAAACCATAATAAAAGTACTGAAAAGCAATTTCTTAGGAATGTAAGGCATAAATTAATGAATAGTGTAAAATTTATCTTTCTTTACTTCTCCAGAATGGTCCTTGGCTCTTTTAATCTGTTAGTCCATTTCTGTCTTGGTAAGAGAATGCTTGTAATTTAATAAGTCAATCTGTTAATCACACTAAATATGTATAATTGAGTTTACAGTGAGCTTCTAATTCTTCTGGAAAATAATTATTACAGAATTATAGAATAGCATTTACAGTACTGAATTTGAAGTAACCTCCTCAGAAGACTTGCAGGGGTTTTTTTGACTATTTATGCCTTGCTTTCTAATACATCACACTGCTGTGTGGGTCCAGGGCTCTGGATACAGCATGGCTCAATTGGTGTGTGTTAACACAAATCTTATGGACTGGAGTATTAGGTTATGTAAGACTGACTGAAAGGAGGTCTTAAAAGACCAGTGAGGGTGCGAAAGAAGGCATGTGAATCACAATAAAGTTATCCTTTTGTTAGAAGACATGCTTGTCACTTTGGAATAATTTAAATGTTTAACTGTGTGGTGGATATTTCGTGGCAAGCTGAGCAGATATGAATGTGTAAGCAGCTACAAAGGCCAAGGCAGTGTGGTTTAGTTTCTATTTTTCTTTTAGCTCTTCATTTTTGACTTTCAGAAATGTATTGGAATAGTCCGTTTTTGTTCAAAATATGTATGAAAGTAAAAATTCCTTTGAAAAATATTTTAAGCACCATTACAGGATGTGTTATTGCAAATATGATTTTTTAATATGTGATGGGTTTGTCACTTTATCTACAGGGATGCATACAAAGTTAGGAATGTTAATTTTCAAGTACAGTTTTAATGATTTTCCTTTGTATCTGTGTAAGTAATTTTTTGACTTCTCTTCACAGAGAGCAGAGAAGTGATTAAGACAAGTGGACGACTTAATGATGGTATACCCCAGGTTCCAGTGAAAAGAGGAGAATCAGACTTTGATTCCTTCAGGCAATCACTACCAGTTTTTGAAAAACAGGAAGAAATTGTCAAAATAATAAAGGACAATAAAGTTGTTTTGATTGTAGGAGAAACAGGATCAGGAAAAACTACTCAAGTATGTTTCTGTAATGAAATAAAAAAAGATAACAGTATTTATTAAAATGTAATGCTAGATTTTTAATGTTTCTGTAATAAGGGATTTCTTTACTCTAGTTTTAAGGCTTTTGTTTTCCTGTAAGGTTGAAAGTCTTGTGTTTCAGTTAACTTTCCTACTTTTTAAATACTAAGCCAACAGTTACATACTAACACCATAAATGATTCTGCACAATTTTCTCATAGATATGACTTTTTTATTAAAATAATCACAGAATATTGAAGGGAAGGTAGCTATGATTTTTACAGCCTTTTTCCTTTCAAAGCTAGTTCTGTTCTAAGTGTCTAGAGTAGAATATTATTACATTAAAATGAAAGATTACCTACACAGCTTTTTTTATATATTTCTGAGAGACAGGAGAGAGAAGCTTCAGGGTGTTTTTTTTTGTTTGAGTTTTGTTTGTTTGCTTGTGTTTTTTGTTTTGTTTTTTTAAAACAGATTAGACTTAACAGCAAAAATTTATTTTTTTGGCCTTTCTGCCACTTCAAGTAATTTTACAGTGATAATCCTTTTGTGAGGCCTTTCGCAACCTGTGTAATATTAAGTTGTCTCACCATGGTAAAAAAGCTATGACTTTATCAAACTAAAAAGTAAATTTAAACCACTTCTTTACAGATCCCTCAGTTTATTCTTGACGACTGTTACAAAACTGGAACTCCCTGTCGTATATTTTGCACTCAGCCAAGACGTTTGGCAGCACTTGCTGTGGCTGAAAGAGTGGCAGCAGAAAGAAGAGAAAAGATTGGCCAGACCATTGGTTATCAGATCCGATTAGAAAGCAGGTACTAATGATATTTTTTAAAGTCAGTTGATCTCGTGTTGGTGTCTTTAGTCTTGTGTAGATTTAAACTGTAGTATATTTGGAATATAGCCTGGTAAAATCCCTATGGGTAAAGTATAGGTAGGATATGTTATTTTGGGTAATGAATATTTAAGAGTGAAAAGGACAGTTTTCTTCTGATATTTTAGAGCTTCATGTAGTAAGTTGTTTTATAGAATGGAACTGCAAGTGATTTCTCTTAATGTCTTCTAGGGAGGATGTGTGTGAAAATCCTTGTCATATTTTCAAATTAGGTCTACACTTGCCCCTTTTATTTTTTATTCCCTACTTTTGACATTTGTTAATCCAAAAGTTCTGCAAACTTTGAAGATAGGTAGGAAGACCAGCATGTTGTAACAAATGCTACATAGTGAGACTTGATAGGGCATGTTAAAGGGACAACAGCAAAATTGGAAAGCGAATGATGAAGTTGAGCATTATTTACCAATTTATTTTGGGTTAAATTTACTCTGTTTCAGCTTTTTTATTTCAAACATTAAATGATTTGAAAGTAGAGATTTTTAGATCACCTGAAGAATTTGATCCTAAAGCAGAGCAGAAATGGATGGAAATCTGACGATTGTGTGTGGTTGCTAAAGTTTTTGAATTGTGTAGATAGTGGGATTTTCAGGAATGGACATTAGGTGGCATATGAGTGAGAAGAAGATGGCAAAAAGTATAGCTGGTTATGTTGCTTGTATGGATAAAGATACATAGCTAATGAATGCACTTAAACAGCAAAGCCAAGTTAAAGAAGAATTTGAATATCATGCAAAAAGCTCATAAGGCTATTAAGAGATTAAAAGAGCTAGTAAAGATGAATTGCAAATAAGGTGATGACTAATGTGTGGAAGAATTATGCTCGCTGAAGAAGAATGAAGTGTAGGTCAGATAGAAGAATTACTGGAACCGGTGCAGAAAACTCCGCTTAAGACAAATGAAGAAGTTCACTGGAGAAAAAGCAAAAGGGAGAGATGACAATGTTTCCACCTGCCAAAAAAGGTATTGGGTGGAGGTGTTTATAGTAACACAGAACTCTTGATTTCTAGAAGGCTAATGAAGAAGAAAGGAGTAGAGATGGATAAAGTAAAACATTTCTATCTTGTATGAGTTCCTTGAATTTAATATGTAAAAGGATTTTTGAAGTGAGGGATGAATTCCAAACTTGGGAAGAAATACACCTATAATAACTAGTGAGCTTATATCTTTCTTCTTTTCTGGAAGTTTTCGCTACTTAAGTGGCAGTGCTGGAGAAAGTAGTGACAATTGCAGTTTTCACTTGCACAGCTAACTCTGCAAGAGGTAGTAGGTACTCTTAAGATTTTTAAATTCCTGAAATATGAAAGCATTTGAAAAGGTTCAGCTGACTTCTTTGTGAGTCAGTCAGTTATAGTGTGTTGCGTTTGTGTGGCAAGGTTGTGGTAGTGAATGGGCTCTAGGGGTGGCTTCTGTGAGAAGAAGCTTCCCACATCTGATAGAGCTGGTGCCAGCTGGCTCTGAGAGGAGCCACTGGCTAAGGCTGAGGCCACTGGTGACAGTGGTTGTGCCTCTGGGATGACATATATAAGAAGGGAGGAAACAAATCTGCACAGCAGTAACAGCAGTGCAAAGAGAGGGTTGTGATTATTGTGAGACAGACAAGTCTACAGATGCCAAGGTCAGTGCAGAAGGAAAGGGAGCAGGTGCTTCAGGCACCAGAGGAGAAATTCCCTTGTAGCCTGTGGAGGACCCCATTCCAGAGGAGGTGGTTGCCTGAAGGACCCTGTGACCCTGTGGGAGGGCTGTGCTGGAGCAGGCTCCTGGCAGAACCTGTGGCCCCATGGAGAGGGCAGTCTGCACTGGGCCATGTTTGCTGGCTGGACTTGTGAACCCGTGGGGGTCCCATGCTGGAGCAGTCTGTTCCTGAAGGACAGCACCCCATGGGAGGGATGCCATGCTGGAGTAGTTTGTGAAGACTGTGAGGAATCCTCCCAGTGAGGAGGAAGGAGTGGCAGAGACAGCATGTGATGAACTGACCACAGCCCCCAGTCCTTGTCCCCCTGCACTGCTGAGGGGTAGGAGGTAGAGAAAGTAGGAAGTTAAACCTGGGAAGAAAGGAGGGGTGGGGAAAGGTGTTGTAAGACTTGGTTCTATTTCTTATTTTCCCACATGGATTTAATTGGTAGTAAACTAAATTAAGTTCCCCAAGTCGAGTCTGTTTTGCCTGTGATGGTAATTGTGAGTGATCTCTCCCTGTCCTTATCTTGACCTATGAGCCTTTTGTTGTATACTCTACCCTGTCCAGCTGAGGAGGAGAGTGATAGAGGAGCCTGGGTGGGCACCTGGAATCCAGCCAAGGTCAACTCACCACATGTAGGCAAATATCAAGACTATATCCAAGCAAGTGCTGAAGAATTGAAACCTGTTTTTCCAAAGCAGTCCACACTGAATTTTCCAGTAAATTAAACAGCATGGGGGGGTTCTCAAGGTTCTGTTTCACTTGCTTATTAATTTAGAAAAAGATTGAATCTCACCATGTCAATTAATCTCTTGTCTGAAGTTTTGGAGCATGAGCACTAGGAGTCCTTAGGAACTCTTTGGGAACAGGCCTAGTTTATAAACAAGGAGTATGCATGAACTCCTTGGTGAGAGAACTGTGATTCCACTTCTGGTAAACAGCTGTTCAATCCTTTAATTTTCAGTAAATAGTGGAAAGCTAGTAGCATTTAAGTGGTGCAAAAAACTGAAGTATCTTTATGAACTGTTCAATAGGGTTTCTCCAAAGACATTGGTAACATTTTGCACTAATGGCATCCTGCTTCGCACGCTCATGGCAGGAGACAGCACCCTGTCTAATGTGACACATGTTATTGTGGTAAGGACTTTATTGTATTTCATGTGAAGTGGAGCAATATGTATTACTTGTTAATTGCAAGGTGAGATCCTAGTTTTCTACATTTGTTTACTGAATATTTAAGTTGTTTTTGTTTGGTTAGCATCTCAGTTAACTTTAAAGATTTACTGAGCTTTTATTGTAGCATGCATGCTTTTCCATTTTTGTTTTTTTTTTCTCCTGTAAAAGCATCTCATTTTAGGTTCATACCAGTAATTAATTTTGGAATTGTTGTGCAGTTGTAGAGAGCAGAGGTCTAAATTTTTCTGAACTTCCTCTGTCAGCAGAAAAACCTTAGAGAGATTTATGTAGATCCAGTTGTGTATCAGAATTTCTGTTATTATGTCCTTGTTTTAGCAGTACCAAATTTGCAGTTCATTTGTTTGCCTAATGTTTTCAAGATAATATGTAGTCTAATTTCTAGCAAATTACTTAGGTATGTTCATATATAATTATGTGAATTTCGTATTGTGGAATTTGATAAAGTCGGTGGAACCAGAGCTCTCTAGTGCTGAAAACAGAAAAACCCCCCTGTCTGTTTACTAAAGAGTAAAAAAGTCTGAGACTGATTTATACATGCTTGACTTCAACCTGCAAATCTTGTATTTGGGTTCTTGTTTCATTCATTCATGTCATAAAACAGAAGATAGACAAAAATGATTAATTGGTCATGTGCCTTAATGATAAACTTTGTGCATGATTTAACGGATCTAAGCAATCTATCTTTTTTGTGATTGTTTGGTACCATACAGTTCTTTAAATGCTCATCAGTTGTGAAGGGAGATTTTATTAAAATAAGATTTGTAGGATTTGTGGTTTCCAGTATTATCTTGAGAGTGACATTCAAGTACAAGAGTTAGAGAAGTTTCAGACATTCACTTTGATCTCTGAAATCAAGATCTATGTGGTTTTTACATTACAGTGCAGTCTGCTCTGGTATCTTTATAAAACCTGTTGGAGTATTTTTTTACTTTTGGATAGTTTTTAAAAAAATCTTTACTTACGGATCCTTACTAGACTGCCACATTTTAATGTCATGTACCACCAAATTACATATTTTAATTTTCTAAAAAGTTTGTATTTGTGAAAAGTTGTGATCTTGTATCTGTGATGTTTATCTGTTATTTTTGTTTTTCTTTCTTTTTCGTTATAGGATGAAGTACATGAGAGGGATAGGTTCAGTGACTTCTTGTTAATAAAACTGAGAGATGTGTTGCAAACCCAGACTAATTTAAAACTCATTATTTCTAGTGCAGCTCTAGATGCAAATCTCTTTATTAGGTATTTTGGATGTTGTCCAGTAATACACAGTAAGTATTTATGTGAACACTTTTTCTCAGATAAGTGAGAATACCTGCCCCAAGACTCATAGATCGTATCGAACTGTACCAAACCATTCTGACAAAAGCCGTGTGATGAGTACACAGAGAGTTACAGCAGTGCTTTTTCTTTGTTTACTTGTGTTGGTTGTTTCATAACTATTTGCACCTACTACAGAGGGAAGTGTTTTTATCACTGGAGGTTCTGTAAATGCGGGATTGTCCTGGCCCCCTCCATGTTCAGTTAAGGAGGGAGGAAAAGGTTCTCAAAGTGCTGATGTCCGTGGCAATATAGACCCTAGGATCTATAAGAGTATTGTCTATGTGTCTATTAATACATACCAGTAGATTTTAGTTCTTCAGGCCTCAACAGAGATTGCTGCTGGTTACTGGATAAAAGACAGATAACTGTACCTGCTCTTTTCAGAAATACAGTCATAAGCAAATGAGGTTTTTGTGTTTTAATAACACGATGCCTTGCTTTATTTAGAGTCTTCTCTAAAAATCATTGGATAATTTTAGTGGATATTCCTGAGAGTTAATTTTTGTTATTTATATAAAGAAGTGTTTATTTCTAGTTCTCAGTTTGGAAATTCTGCCTAGTAGAATGAAGCTTGCAGCTTGTTGGAGGCAGGAATCTGGAAATGACACAGATTTTAGTGTTTGGCAGGTTTTTTTCTGAGAGGAGAAACCTTGTTGTAATTGGTGTGTGGCTCTCCAGTTTACTCTTATGGCAGCTTCCTATTCTTTTAGCTCAGTAGGTTTATTTTGGAAATTTTGACTGCTGTGTCCATTTCACTGCAGTGGTTATACTGTTATCAGATAGTGGACTTCACAGGCTAATCACAATTGAAAAGGTGCTTTTTTCATTTTTGATAATTTAGAAATTAAAACAATAGGGCTTAGATGCTTTGTTAATGTAATGTAAAAGGTTTGATTCTCTTTCAACAGTATAGCTGGCAAAATCCTGACCACAGAATCCAACATGTTGTAGCTGTGGGTTCTGTAGTAGAGTTTGTGATTGATGTTAGAAGACTTCCTCCATAACACCTTCTAAAAATATACGAGTTGTAGCTTGTTCTTTCTGAAGGATGGAAAAGTCCTAGGTGATACAAACTCAGCTGTGGGAAATGTCTGCTAAGGGACCAGAAATTTAAAATGTAGAGATATTAATTTTTCCTGTATAAAACCAGAATTTTATGTCCATAAATAAGGTCAAGTAAGGTCTAGAAAACAGTGATGTTAAAAGAGAAATCAGAGTAAATTCTTAGGAGATAAAGACCATTGGAATGTCTCATTTGTTGGGAAGTATTTGGTAAAGAAACCCAAATTTGGCTGCACTAATTAAGGACATTGAGAGGAGTCTGTCTCCTCATATACTTCTTATGAAAGAAGGTAGTTGAATACAAAGGTGCCAGTTTGCTCGTGGGACCTTGCAGTAAAGCTGTATTAATTGCTCCAATATTATGGAATTCAGGTGGCTCACACAGTGAATTTGTTTTGGTACCCCTAAACAAAAATGTCTGTTTTCTTTTTCTCATTTGATAAAATTGCAGTAAATAACTGTCAGTCTTGCATCTCTTACTGCAACCCGTAGAAGAATTAATGAGAAACAAGCTATGCAGCTGGCATTTCCCTTTTGAATTGTGGGGTGGTTTTTTTTTTGTGGCCCAGTCATTTAATGAAAATAGACTTATATGAAGAGACTCTTACAAGACTTTTCAAGGAAAGTAATAATTCCTTAAATCAGGCCCTAATTATATTTAATTCACTTTTTTTTGTCTATAAAAATGGTTTTTAAAAATTAATATAATAATTGAAGCTAGGGAATATCTAATTTTTCATGAATTTTTTATACTTTCAGTCCAAGGAAGACCTTTTGAAGTTAAAGAAATGTTTTTGGAGGACATTTTACGAAGTACTGGGTATACAAACAAAGAGATGATAAAGTACAAAAAAGAGAAGCAGCAAGGTTGGTGGACTTCTTATTCTAAAAGGCTGGTGATGAGTCTCATTGATTGATTGAAAAACAAACAGGATGAATCTGTGTTAAAATTTTAAGAGTCAGAATATTAAATGACATGACAGCAAGTTAGATGACAGCAAGTATTGTGAAACTCTGTGTTTACAATGTTGATGTAGTTTGTGATTTAAAAAGAAATTTCACTTTCTTTCAGTGATTGCACTTCTTATCGCTTTCAGTTGATAAATGTTAATTTTTTTCTGGTTATTATGGAGTAGAATTACATATAACTGTGGCCTTTGCCCACTTGAATACTGTAGAACCATTAGATTACTATATGCTCACTTTAGGGTGCAAATTAAAGTGCAGCCAAATTAAAGTGCAGCCATTAGAGAAGGCAGGATTTTGTACATTTTGCATAGAAGTGGTTTCTGTTATTAATATTTTTCACTGCATTCTTCAGACATTCGTGTATTTAACTTATATAGCCCAGAAGCAGTAACACACTTGAACTAAAGAGAGGGTTTTTTTCAATTGGTTAGGTAGATATATTATTTGAAAAGTTTTCCTAGCAGCTGAAAGTAATGATCCTACTGAGTATTTAAAATGAAAAAAAAAAAAGACAAACCTCAAAGCTGTAACATACAGTCCTAACTACATGTTTATCATGGAGTTCAGCTCTGATCACTGTGGATAGAAAACCTGAGTTAAGGCACCGGTGTCTTCTACTGTTTTCTTCTACTTGTACACAAAAATTAGTTGTAATATGCAGGAATTGTATCACTTCTCTTTGACATTTCACTCTTGAAGAAAGATCTGCACTGAGAACTGTGTTAGAAGATAGTTACTTAGGAAGCTTTTTTGAATGCAGCAAGCTGGAATACTGGAGGCTTAGGGCATTAAGCACCCAGGTGGTATTTTTTACCTTGTTGTGTAGCAGATGTTTGCAATGGTGCACTTTAGGTGCCCTTAATCATGGAATTTGTATTGGACTGGTAACAGTGTTCTAGATTAAATAAGAGATCAAATAGGTTAAACTTTTTGATTTGTTATGGCTATTTTTTGTAATTGAAAATAATAGATTATTAAGATGACTGTAAAACTTCCTGTGGAAATACTTTATGCATTCTAGAAGAGAAGCAGCAAAGCTCTCTTACTGAATGGTGTTCTGCTCAAGAAAATAATAGCACACTAGAACCTCAGAGACAAAAATCTGTCCCAAGGGCAACGGAAGAGTGTAATCTGTTGGGTGATGGCGGTGACACAGTATTTAATCAACTGGTAAGCTTTTCCTTTTGTTGGGAGGTATGTTTAAGTCTGCATTAAAAACTGTTCTCTAAAGAGATTACTCCTGTAAAATTTCTGGAAGGATAGTAATGTATTTTAAAGATTTTTTTTTTTATTTTAATCATGAAGTACTGAAGTGTGCTTTTCAATTACATTGGTGGTACATAACTTTTCTTCAGATAAAATGGCTGAACTTCCATTGCTTAAAATACTTGCATATGGTACAATAAATGCTTTAACTGGTACTGAATGCTGAGTTTCTGATTGTTATTTGGAAAACTAACTGTTCAGTTTTTTTGTGTGCAATATATGAGAATAAAGACAACTCTTGGAAGACATTAATCTTTAAATACTGTATTTTCTCTTCAGGCTGAAAAAGATGTGAATTGCCTTGAACCATGGCTAATAAAAGAAATGGATTCTTGTCTTTCTGACATCTGGTTGCATAAAGATATTGATTCCTTTGCTCAGGTGTTCCACCTCATTTTAACTGAAAATCTCAGCGGTAAGTTTCTCATCTTATTACGTAAGAAAAAACCAATAAAAAACCGATTTGAATTTCTGTAGCTATTCCATTTCTAGTTTCAAATGTTGTTAGCTTTGAATTCTGATGCCTATTGAAAAAGTGAATAGAACTAACAGAATTAATGAATTATTTCCTTACTTGTTGTGCTTGTTTTGGAATATTAACAGATGTTACAACGTGTATCTGAAGTAGTGTTAAATTCATGTGAACTGAGTGATGAGATGAATGGAGGACAAAAAATCTCTCTGGCCTGGTTTTTAAAAGTCTTATAAGTCATACTCATACTACATTTAGATGAAAAAATAAGAATGTTTTTACTGTGTTTGCTGATTTATTTATTTATTTTCTACTTCTCAGTTGATTATAGACACAGTGAAACCAGTGCGACTGCACTAATGATTGCTGCAGGGAGAGGCTTTTTGAATCAAGTAGAACAACTGATCAGTATGGGAGCAAGTATCCACTGCAGATCATCTAATGGCTGGTAAAAACAAACAGACAAACCAAAATACGGATTTATTTGTCAATATACAAATAAATTTGTGTATTTGTCATTATTTACAAATATATAGAGAGAAATTTCTATAATATTTAAACTAATTGCTAACTTATCTGACTACTGTAAGCAGTAATAGCTTTTGACAGTTTAAAGAGTTTCTGACTTCTATTCATCACATTGTATTCTGTAAATTCTAGATTAAATTCCTAATTACAAAATCTTTATTTTAGGCTATGCATCTTTCTTTTGAAGTGAAAATTTAATTAAGATTTTTATGTGAATCTTTCAGGATGGCTGTGGACTGGGCTAAGCGCTTTGGACAGACAGAGGTTGTTGACCTGTTGGAATCCTACAGGTAAACTATAACTGCTTTGCAGAAAAAGTTGTGTAATGTGGTAAGGGAAATTTGTATTTTGTCTTTTAATCAGAACAGTTTTTAACTTTTTATGCCTTAAAATCTGACCTAAATAGCAAGATTTATTTGGGAATAGGAATGTTTCAAAAACTTGTTTGTTTTTTTTAAAAAAAGTGTCGTAGTGATTATGTTTGCACAACTCCTAGGATAAATATAGTTACAGAGATGTAGGACTATCGCTGTTGGAACGGACCGTGACACGAAATATCCAGCAAGACAGTTTATTGGAAAGAAAAGGAAGCAGCAGCAGCCCAGAGCTGCAATTTACAGCTCTTTAAATACAGCTCTTTAGGCATACATGTGTTACACAGATAGGTCAATTTGAATACACAAACTATAATTCTTACAGGTAATAGGTGGACTTTCTTAGTACACTTCACTCATGGGCTTCCAGTCTGCTTTTAATGTCTTTTACTGTTCCATATAACAATCGCCAAATTGTAAGGAGGGAAGCAGCAACTTTTTCTCCCTTAGAGGCAGCAGTAAAGAGCTTATCACTAATTTTTTTTGAAGTAGAGACAGTAAAAGCAGTAACAGTGTCCGCTTTGTATCCCTGACTCTTGCACCAAAGCAGCATCTTTCGCAAAGCCAGTTCGTTTAACTTCTTCTCCGTTTAAACAGGATAGACTTCCACATAGATACAACAATAGATTCGAGGAAAAAAGGCAACGCAGAAAGAACCGTGTCTTGCAGAATACACCATCTAAGGAGTCTTTCTGCTGTGCCTTTTGCAATCGGATATGTCTGTCACGTATTGGCCTCATAAGCCACCAGCGTGCCTGTAGCAAATGTGGATAGTACCTTCCCAAATCTTCGTTCGCGAAGCCTGGCCATGATGATGAGATTCCTCTTTTGCTAAGAGTTGTCCCCTTGTTCTCGGTGGCTCACCTGTCCAGGTGTCTGCGTCTAAGGCCGGCCTAGGCAACTTCTCTGTTGCTCTCGTGCTTCCCCGAGCTCCGTTCCCGCGGCAAGTTTCTCACCGCCCGTATGGCTTTCTCCTGCACAATATCCACGTAGACGCAGCACCGCGTCGGGGTCACCAGATGTCGCTGTTGGACGGGACCGTGACACAAAATATCCAGCAAGACAGTTTATTGGAAAGAAAAGGAAGCAGCAGCAGCCCGGAGCTGCAATTTACAGCTCTTTAAATACAACTCTTTGGGCATACGTATATTACACAGATAGGTCAATTCGAATACACAAACCATAATTCTTACAGGTAATAGGTGGACTTTCTTAGTTCTACTCTCTCACAACATCTCTGCACATCTGTTCTTGTTTTCCTTTAATGTTTATATTTTTCTCAGCCACTCTGTACAACATAAGTTCTTGTTTTCATGGGACAGTGTCCTTGTTTTCACGGGACAGCTGTCTCCTGATGTTTTTCTCCTCAGAGTGCATCAACATGTTGTCAGGACCAAGGCTTCCATTCTCAGTCAGCTTTTCGTTCTGTATCAGGGGTCTCGGTCCAGCCGAGATTCCCCACACAGGACTTCTTTTATATTATTAGCTTTTATCATTTTGATGTAGGCATTCCTATCACGATTATATATCTAGGCAGAATGTGATTGTAGTAACTTAATAGCCAGAGATCCTGATTCTTCAACGTACCATTTTAATTTCAGATGGTTATTTTGAAAAAAAAATCTGTTGTATATTTTTAACTATACATTGTTGGTACAATTAACCATGTTAAAGAAGCTTTATAGGAATAACATGTACACTAGGCCATTCAAGAGTTGTTTTTTGATTAACTTATAGTTATCATAGTTTTTTTACCATTTTGTAGAGACCTCTATTATTAGAACTCCTCTTAGTGTTGTTTCTAGTGTAGTTAATGTAGTACCTGCTTATGGGGAGAAAATGTTTGGAAAATATGCTTCTTTAAGTATTTTTAACAGATCAATAAGTGATGTCTTTCTACCTTGAGTTCTGACATCTTTGCTTGTGGTTTTGTTTCAATGAAGCGTAAAAAAATGACAGTAAATGCTAAAAAATCTAGTTGCATGCTTGCTGGGTTAACATGTCAGTGAACAGTAATATTATTTTGGAGGTGCTGTTCTGCTACATTTCAAAATTTAACTTCAAAAGAAGTAGTCTTACTGGTCTTGATCTAATTTTGATTTTGTGGTTGAATGCAAACCTAAAGCAAACAGCCTTGACTCTGGTCTGTGTATTTATCTATTTTAGTGCTTCAGCAGGATTTGGAAATTTGGATGAAAGTTCCCTGGTCCAAACAAGTGGTAGTGACCTTAGTGCAGAGGACAGAGAGCTATTGACAGCTTATCATCACAGTTCTGATGATGAAAAAGTGGATCTGGACCTGATTATGCACTTACTTTATAACATCTGTAATAGTTGTGAGCCTGGTAAGTATTACACACACAGTCCCAGTAAGTTACTGTGGATTCAGCTTTTGATAAATCCTGCCTTTTTTTCAGAAATACCAAATAGGTAAAACCTTCTAAGTGCTAGTACTGGCATATACTGAAAGTGAACTTTCTGTTTAACTCTGTAAACCTACTTCTTTTTTAGGAGCAATTTTAGTATTTCTTCCTGGATACGATGAGATAGTGAGCCTGAGGGACCGTATTCTTTATGATGACAGGAGGTTTGCTGATAATGCTCACAGGTAAAGCCCCTAGTCTCTATGATTGAGGTTTATATTTCTTCTTTAAAGATATTTAAAATGTCCTCTTTGTCTTGGATTAGGTACCAGGTTTTCATGCTTCATTCAAATATGCAGACTTTGGATCAGAAGAAAGTGCTTAAAAGTCCACCTTCTGGTGTCCGCAAAATAGTAAGTGTCAGAGGACTTCATCAGATATTATATTGATTTATTTTGTGTTTGCTTTTAACTATGGTTTTGGTTGTTTCTTGTTATAATTGCAGATTCTTTCTACAAATATTGCAGAAACCAGCATAACAGTCAATGATGTTGTATTTGTTATTGACTCAGGCAAGGTGAAAGAGGTATGATCGGCCTAAAATGTCTTTGGGAAGTAAACTTTGGAGAACTGGTTTTTTTTTTATAGTAGGCTTCGAGCTAGTGCATGTCAAGCAACAAAGGTAACTGAGAAGTTTTGATGTCTATTTGTTTTATGACAAATACTGTAAATAGCAGCTGTTTAAAAAGCCCTGTAAAAACAATTGTAAGTTGATATAGTGATATATCTTTTTTTTAAACAGTATTTCTGTTTGATTTTTTTTTTTAAAACAAGTCAGTCAGTTTAGACTGGCATCTTCCTGAAACTTAGAGAACACCGGAAGTTCCCTTTGTCGAAATCTAATCCATTAAGCTTTTAAGCATTGTTTGATGTATTGAATGCCCATTCCTAAATCACTTGTAAGGAAAAGTGAGATATCATAATGAGGTAGTTTAAGACCTCGTGTATTGCTTTGAAAATTAAGTTACATTTCATAGGAGATATGAAAATTTCTGAAGTTCTCGCAGTAACACAATTTTTCTGTAATTTTGCATCAAATGTAAGAAAATCAGGATGTAATTTCCAAGTGAGACAAAGAGAAAAACAATTACTGTAATAACGTATTTTTTCTTGGTTTCTGATAACTGCAATCTGTGTCTTTTATTGACTTGCAATTACCTATTGACTAGAAAACTTCCATTTAGAAAACTCTGTAGCACAAAGATACTGTGAAGGAGGTAGCATAAATTCATTTGAAACTAAATATTCAGAACATACCTTTGTACCAGAAGCTGCTGATGTTTTTTATAATTATTTTTTTACTTTTTTAAAGAACTTCTGTTGATAAATCATTACTAACTTTTATTTCAAGTACTCGTATTAAATCTTGGTTTTATGTTCTCTGCTTTGCTTTTATAGAAGTCTTTTGATGCACTAAGTTGTGTTACAATGCTAAAGATGGTGTGGATTTCAAAAGCCAGTGCTATCCAGAGAAAAGGCAGGTAATAAATGCTTTATACTAACTTTTATTTTGCATATATCTAATGTCCTGGCTGGTAAGAATAAAGTACAAACATAATAGCAGCCACACTGGGTAATGTTTCTAACCTAGTCCAGTATGATGTTGGACAATGGCCAACGCTCCTGCTCTGCATTTCCTGAGTTGTAGAAGAGTGACACTCGAGAATATCCCAGAACTTTTATTAGATCTAGGTTGTTGTTCCCCCATGACCTTCTTCTTCTTTCTCCCATGTAGCAACAGCAGCCACAGTGTCCAATGAGGTGTTTCACAACTTATCTGTGGGCAAAGGACTGCCTACTGCTAGTTTTTAATTGATGTCCTGGCATTTTTGTTAGAAGAAACATTGAGCAGTAATTCCTTATTCAGTGTCTCCAAACTATTCCTGACTTAGGAGGCCTCGAACATGTTCTATCCAACACTGTGGATGAAGGCTGAGAAGTTACATATGTAGCAACAGATACCCATATTTTGTGATGTGATATTGGCATTAACCTACAGGGATTTGAGTGTGAATGTGAGCATTTGCTGTCTCTGTCCCTTCACTCACAAGCTATTTGGTCTTCGTTTTATCTCTTGCTCCTAGAGTACCATCTAACTGTTAGGGGGATGGGAAGAGGAAGAAATGAAGTTTACAACTTGCATTCCTTATGGCAAAAGATGGATGAGATTTAGATTTATCTTGAATTGGCAAAACATCCCCATCTCATTATTTAGATAGCCCTTACTTTTGTTTTTCCAGATTTTTCAGTGTAGGGTTAAAAGGCTAATAATAAATGTCCATACTACCAAAAATAATTCATGTGCTGGAAAACTGTTAACTTTTTGTGTGGGACTTCCTCTTAACCACAAAATTATCTTTCTGTCAGACATTCTTCTACATTTGCATCCTAAGTTTGTGTGGGTTGGTTTTTTGGTCGATTGTTTGGGGTTTTTTTTAAAAGAAATTCTAATTTCACACCTTCCCATATTTTATTTTCCAGGGCTGGTCGCTGTCAGCCTGGAGTCTGTTTTCGTCTCTTCAGCAGGCTCCGATTTCAGAATATGTTGGAATTTCAGACTCCAGAACTTCTAAGAATGCCACTTCAGGTGCATGTTCAGTTAAAAATTATGACTTTTAAAAAACGTATTATCATCAAACCATGTTATTAATTCCAAAAAACCATGTGTTTGTTTTGTTTTTCCCAAACTTTAACAATATTTTTCTGCTTTTTAACTTACAGGAGCTTTGTTTGCACACAAAACTTCTGGCTCCTATTAATTGTTCAGTTGTTGACTTTCTTATGAAAGCTCCTGATCCTCCACCAGCTTTAATTGTGAGAAATGCTCTGCAAATGCTCAAGGTCAGTAGAGGAATCGATTTAAGTGGGAATTGTGTATGATCTGTATTTGTGGTGTAACATATCTTACTATCATTTGTGGTAATGTATCTTACTGACTTTTATTTATACAGAGACTGTTGTTCAGTTACTTAAGGATGCTTTGAATTTCTGTTTGTTGTCTGTTTTCATTTTACGTGTGTGGATGTATTTTTCCATGTTAAGGGAAGAGTGTACTTTAAGATCTGGTCTTGAACTATTAGTTATTAGTTTGACTTGCTTTTTTAGTGTTTGGGAGCAAGTCTGGGTAATGTCCAATATTTGTATCCTTTCTGCTTTCATTGTAAATTAATTTTGTTTGCTTTCCCCTTTTCCCCTCGCCCCCATTTTTTATTTTATTTTAACCAGACTATAGATGCCATGGACCCTTGGGAAGATCTCACTGAACTTGGTTATCATCTCACTGAACTGCCGGTAGAGCCACACCTTGGTAAAATGGTGTTGTGTGCCGTAGCTTTGAAGTGCCTGGATCCTGTTCTTACCATTGCTTGTGCTCTTGCCTACCGAGACCCCTTTGTCCTTCCTGCACTGGCCTCTCAAAAGCGTGCAGCCATGCTCTGCAGGAAACGTTTTACTGCAGGAACATTTAGTGACCATATGGTGCTTCTCAGGGCTTTCCAGGTATTACCTCATTTCAGTAATCACACATCAAAGTAAATGATGTACCAATCAAGTTGGATATAGAATGGTAGACTATGATTAAGTCCTTAGACAAGAAATTTTTTATTTTTGCCTAGTGGCTTTACTGTGTATTGGACTCGTAATTTAGTGATAGAACACTTTTTGTCTCATCTTTTGGTGATATTTGCTTTGGTGATATGATTGGGTTAAATTCTGAATGTTACAGCAAGGTGCCCCTTTATATCATGCTACACGGATAACTTAAAATAATGATCTTAACATAATAATCTTTATAATAATATAATAATAACATATTGGTCATTAGGTTAGGGAATGGGTAAAGAGAATATAGTATTTAACCAGAAAAAAAAAAAAATCTGGTTTGTTACATTTTCTTTCTTTCAAAGTGGTTTGTACCCTCATTTTATTGATGTGAATGTATTTTTTTAAAAAAAATGCATTTTTTTTAATTTTACATAATCAAATTACTAGGCAAATGTTCAAAAATTATCTTTTACAGGCGTGGCAGAAAGCACGCAGTGATGGCTGGGAGAGAGCCTTCTGTGAAAAGAACTTCCTGTCTCAAGCCACAATGGAAATCATTGTAGGAATGAGAACGCAGTTGCTTGGCCAGCTTAGGGCCTCAGGTAATAGCTTGGAAAAAGTTGTAGTGTAGTTTTAGAGTCAAGTTTGTACAAACTGTAACAAGAATAGTGTTCACTTGTGTGATTTTTTCCTTCCTTAATTTGAAACAGTATGCATCCATGCTGGGCATGGTGGAGGTGCTAGAGTGAGAGAGTATGGCTGGGGAATAACTGGTCTAGCTGAAAGCACCCTGGTTGTTCAGCATGCCGCTGGCTTTCAGTGTGAGATATGTTTCCTTGGATTTTTCTGTTCTAGTAAATTGTTTCCATAGGAATTTGTTGAAAAACAGTTCAGACCCCAGGTTCTGAGGCAGAGTCAGTTAATTTCAGCTCTAGCTGGATGACCCCAGAGAGGGACCCTGAACAAAGAAATCACTGGACCTTTATACCCTCACAGTCTGTGCATATAATCTTCACGTGCCCTGCATGTGCCTCACACACTCCTCTTGGTCCAATTTATGGTCTGGGATCTTCTAACGCCTCATTGGTTTCTTTCTTCATGTCCACATCATCAGACCATTAACTGCTCTTATCTTCCAGCCTGGGTCAACCTTGGGCCCCTCTAGGGTCTCAACCGTTACCTGAAAGTATCTCTTTTTTCCTCCCCTGCTTAGTTGTTCATGGCAACAGAGTTCATTTAAAGTTCACCTACATCAGATTTTGAGCAGGGCTCCCTCATGCTAAGCTATCAGGAAGTTACAATTAGACTTAAACCTGCACAATTAAGTTCTGATATTCTATGAGTAAACTAACTTTAAACCACAATAGGAATGTCTTAGTGTTAGTATTATAAAAAGTAATTATATTGTATGCAAGTATAAAAACTCTTCCCAGGAAGGATTTCAGTTGTAATGTTTTCTTCTTGGTTCTGTTAAGGTTAGTAGTCATGAAAAATGCAACTAATTTGTAGTTTATTTCACCTTTTTTTTCCCAATTCCTCTTGAGAAGCAAAGAAATAGATCTTAAGTACAAGCAAGTATAACACAATTTTTATGTCTTCTTTCTTCAGGTTTTGTTAGAGCCAGAGGAGGAGCTGATATCAGAGATGTTAATACTAACTCTGAAAACTGGGCTGTAGTTAAAGCTGCCCTAGTGGCTGGGATGTATCCCAATCTTGTGCATGTAGACAGAGAAAGCCTGGTTTTGACTGGACCAAAGGAGAAGAAAGTGCGATTTCATCCTACCTCTGTGCTTAGTCAAACTCAGTATAAAAAGGTAAAATCACTTAACTTTTTAGAAAATACTGTTTTCTGGCAGCCTATAGAATGAAGAAGTGGAGTTGGTTGATTTTTCCAATATTTCAGTTAGTTCTTCCAAATGGAACACAACAAAATGTTAAGAAGAAAAAGCTAGTTATAAAAGCGTTTTCAAGATGTAACCATCTGTGCTCATAACAGCAGGAAAAAGTTCTGCTCTGAAAGCCTTTTTTTTTTTTTTTTGAGATGCTTTTTTTATAGCAAAATATTTTGTTTCAAAGTGTTTAAGATAGTTTGGTAGTCTGGTTGAATTTCCTTGTGCTTTTTTTATTTGCGTGCGTATATAAATATGCGTTTATTCTACATATATAAAATAAGCATTACATTAAAATTGTTTTTAATTAAACAGAGGATGAAATAGCCTAGTCTTATTTGCTCTTTCACAGATTCCCCCAGCAAATGGCCAAACTGCAGCTGTTCAGGCACTCCCAACAGACTGGCTTATATATGACGAAATGACGAGAGCTCACAGGATAGCGAACATCAGGTGCTGTTCTGTGGTAACACCTGTCACTGTGGCACTCTTCTGTGGACCAGCTAGATTACCAAGTAATGCTTTGCAGACATCTTCATCCTTTCGAGGTATACTGGAGCCTGGATTTGGAGTATGGGATATACTAGTAGGTGGTGTGGAAGGCTTATTTTTCATGTATATTTTCCACATATATTGGCTAATTCTTAAAACAACAGAACTATGGTTCCTGTAGCTCTTCAAGAACAGTTTGTAGTCTCTGTAATAAATGTCTCTGCTTTATGAATCCTTTTACACTCATATCTATAAATTACACTTAGTTCTATAGTCTCAGAAGTTACAGTATAGTTTGTAAAGAAATAAAAAATGAAAACAAAATGTCTAATGACAGTACTAATGCTGAGAAGTGTAGTATCTATGTCTTTTTTTCTTCAGCCTAGTTTATTTGATTCTTTGAACCAAATTATTCAAACAATAATTAGCTACAGTCAGTATGGCAAATAGTCATATTGCTTCCAGCTGACACATGCATTTTAAACAATATTTTCTACCGATAACTTTTAATGACAGTTAGCCATACCATTAACTAGAAGCAATAAAGAATGTATCAAAATTTTCTTTTTTCATGTTTAAGTGGAATGCTGTAGGAGTAGAAGCAAAAATAATCTAACCTGCTGTCAGTTCTATAGAAATACTAGTTTGAATCAAAATAAGTGTCCAAGATGTTTTGAATCAAAATAAGAGTCCAAGATATTTTTGAAGCTTTCTTGTCTTGCTCTTAAACTGTTACTCTTAAAATAGTGTTAATGATGATTGAATTGCACTTTGGAAAAAAAAAAAAAGGAATCCAAAATAGCCATGTGCATATATAATTTTTTTTCCCTAATGGGTCTTTAAATATGCTGTTTTACTAGGAAATAAAGCATAGAGCAGTGTGTGGCTTTACGAACAACTTCAGGCAAAAGTTTGATAGTGACTTGTTGATATTAATGATGGTACATGAGTGAGTCCTATCACATCAGTACAGGTGTTTACTGACTTGGGCCCTCGGCAGGTCTGGCTGCTTCTGTTCTGCTAACTGAAGCAAAGACTTTCACCAAGGTGTATTTGTAGAAGTTAAAAAGTGTGTTTACAAATATATTTACATTTTAAAATAAAATTTAGTAAGAAAATTGTTGCTGCTAATACAGTAGTGTTCAAGTTTTTGTATGTAAATGTAAATAATATAGAGGTGTTAATGCATCTTTTGTATTTAATTCAGGGGGTGGGGTATCTAATGAGAGCAGTGACAGTGAGATGGAGGACAAAACTGCTAATTTATCACTACTGAAGCTAGATGAGTGGCTCCATCTCAGACTGGACCCTGAAGTGAGTAATGTGTCTTTTCCATGTTGGTTACATGTAGAAGGGTATTTATGTTAAATCATCCTAAAAAGATTTGTGAAACATCTGAGTAAAAAAGAATTTTCTGTAAGAATGATCTGTTTGAGTCTCTTGAATTTACATGACAATGTACTCTGTGAGTTAGCCTTTATTTCATGAGTTGGTTAAGAAATAGATCAACAGGGGTTCAACCCCCTTTTGCCCAGACTAGTCTATTCTGTGAATTCATGTATTCAACATCCAAGTTTTAAGGTTTCGTAACTTACAACCCATAACTCTCAATTCTTGCACCTATGAGCAAAAAAGAATAAAAATTATTAGTTACCTAGCCAGCAGTGAGAGTGCTCATCCTTCTTCCTCTGTCATGATGTGGGTGTCACCTGTATCACACTGGGAAGCAGGAAAGACTCAGCAGTCCAGCTGCTGTTAGATCTGCTTCAAAAGTGCTTTGGGTAAGCTGATGTGTTATCCTTTCCAGCTTGGCAGTTTGGTCCATTTCCATAAGTTAGCAGATTCTAAAGAAGATGCCAGACAAAAGATAATGGCTACAGGGATGAGCAAGCTGCAGGTGGTAGTGGCTGTATAATGGCCCTTCTGCTCTTTCCGGCCCCCTGTATTGCCTGTGTGGTGCTCTCAGCACACATCAGACCTTAGCATAAGCTTGGTTAGCCAAAATCTGAGCGGGAGTTGGAAGAACAGTCCCAATGGCATATTGTATATTTCCTTCTCAGAGGATGACTAAAGTTGGATCAAAATGGAGCACCTGAAACTGAAATTGCTGAAAGAAAATTGTTGTGAGATTATAGAAAAATAATCTAAAAACCTCAGCCTTTGAAGACAGTTTTCAGGTCATTGAGAAGTGCCTGTGGTAGGAGGTAGAGTAACTCAGAGCTCTTTTTCATAAGGTATGACTGAAGAGTGTAGGAATACAGACTGACTGATAGAAAAGGCATAAGACATGAAAAGATTAGGGTTTTTTAAAAAAAAGATTAATTTTTAAAGTGAAAAACAAAAAATGCAGTGTGTTTACAATACAGTTTTAAATTATGTGCAGAGCTATGTGAAATGTTTTAAAAATTATCATACACCTGATGAAAGAAAAGGTAACAACTTAGTTTAAATGTGGGGGGTCTTCCCCCTCTCTGGGACCTTAGTCTTGCTTCTCAGTCTGTCAGAATGCCAGCTGCTACCTGGTAGGAAAGACTTAGGGTACTCTTTTTCTATTTAATCTAATTTTAATTAGTCTTTAACAGAATTGAAATTTGTTACAGGCTGCTGATTTGCTGTTGCAACTTAGACAGAAGTGGCATAGCTTATTTCTGCGTCATATGAGAGCTCCTTCAAAGTCGTGGTCTCAGGCTGATGAAGCAACTGTAAGAACAATTGTAGCTGTTTTAACTGCTGAAGAACAGTCTGCAGGTTTGCAGCAGCCTTCAGGAATTGGTCAGAGACCAAGACCTGTGGCTTCTGAAGAACTTCCTTTAGCATCTACACGGAGGTCAGGCAACAGCAGAAAAAGTGCAGCAGAAACTGAATTCTCTGACTCCTCTAATGCTGAAAAGTAAGCCGTTGAGATCTTCTAGAGACTGTAATTTATTTGCCTCTAAAAGCATGGCTTCAATTTCTGCTAATATTGATAAGGAAGAAACAGTATAAATACAGCTGAAAGCTTTGATACTGTCTTATGCTGTGTTGTAGTTGTGATTTCATGGAGAAGTATTTTGTATGTATGCCTGCTGGTTAAGAGAGCAGTCAGGAATATTGACCGTGAGTTGTGCTCTTTGAGAAGTAGCAGGAGAGGTTTAACTGTAACATTCAAAAATCAATGCATGATAATTATATTTTTTTAGTTACTAATATGTTTTTGAATTACTGTAATATATATAGTCATGCAATAGGCTCATATATAGATAAAAATTATTCTGTGGCTGCTTGTAAAAGTTGTGGTATGTCCTGTATCTACCTTTACTTTTTAGAGTTTTAATGAAATCTACACCTCCTGCACTTCACCAGGCAAAGAAGTACAAACGAAAAAATATTTTACACTCCAAACAAACTTCAGATGACAGGTCAGATCGATCATCAGTGAAATCTGCAGACAGCAGTAGCTATCCTAGCCCTTGTGCTAGTCCTTGTTCTCCAATATCTGGAAAGGTAAAGTTCTCATAACCGTATTACGCTGCACTTCAAAATGAATAGAACTTCTTGCTGGTATCTTTCAGCACCTATCAAGTATTGTATCGGTAAATTAAGAACCAAACTTAGATTTTCATTGTTAACAAGTGCATAATATTTCTTTCTGGAACTTAAAATCAAGTCTAAATATCCTTGTTGCACTAGTTTAATACAGTAAAATTATTATTCTCTTCAGACTTTTGAGATAAAGCTATCCAAAGTTGAAAAAAATCAGATTTTTTTTTTTTTTTAAACTTGGTATACTAAACAGTGAAGGTGTGTACGGCACATGCACTTCTGAACCCTTTGGTTTTTGCCTTCCTCTGTTTCTGTAATAGCATACATTGGTACTGATTCTATAAGTTTTGTGTTATCTGCCTTATTACAGCTGCTTGGGCATTTGGGGGTTTTTTATGATTATTTTAACAAAGCACACATTTTTAATTAGGTTATTGTCATAATTCTCTCTGTATACTTGAATAGTAAACTGCAGTAATACTGAACAGATCACTGAGGGGACAACCCATTGCTCTTTTCATCATGGACTCATTGGAAAAGTTAGTAATGCCTCTTAAGTCTTTCAGTTTTTAGATTCAGCCGGTGTTAAAGAGAAAACTTCATGTTTCCTGAAGATGGAATACGAGTAGCGTGCTGCAGGCTACAGTCCAGGATGATTAATTTTGTGTGGAACTGCAGGTCCATCAGACCTTCAAAGAATTGTAATTACTAAACTATTCAGGCCTGTTCTACTGTACTTGCTTCCTGCCCCTCATGAATGAATTACTATGTTGAAAAGTGCTTAAAAATGTAAAATAGATGTGAAAATCAATTCAGACAGGAACAGCTGATAGATTCTATGTTTCTTGTATAATCTGGAAGAGGAGAGGAGGAGTGCAGTGAAGGGATTTCTGTCTTTGTGTGTGTAAAACTTTAGAACAAAGGCTGGTTTATTTTATTGTATTTATTAATTTATTTTTTCTAGTATTCCAAATCTCCTTCACCAAGACAAAATATGCCAGTTCGGTACTTTATAATGAAAAGTAGCAACTTGCAGAACATTGATATTTCTCAACAGAAGGGTATATGGTCCACTACACCAAGTAATGAGCGAAAACTGAATGGAGCCTTTTGGGAGAGCAGCATGGTTTACTTAATATTTTCTGTTCAAGGGTCTGGACACTTTCAGGTGAGTTCGTAGCTAATGCTGAATATTGGCTGTGGTTAATGTTTTAAGAGAGTGCAGCAAATGCCTATGTGTAGTATGGAGGGCTTTCCTTGTGACTCCTGACCTGATAGGTAGAGTAGGATGCCAGTGTCTCTGGTTGTTGAGGAAAGAGTACTTCATTCTTCTTTGAAATAGACTGTTTTAATTAACTCAGTTTGTCCCTCAAAGGCTAAGACTAAATTGCATCCAAACATAATGAGTCAGAATAGGGTTTATACCCTATATAAATGCTTTCAAACAACTACAATGAAATAAGTAAATAAAAAAAATCCACGGAAAGCAAGTGATTGCTGTTCTTTTCTCTGCATACCAAAATAAATATTATAAGTGAACAAACAGTTACAAGTCACAGCTTTCTAAAGTCAGCAAACTCATAGATGGCTTTATTACAGATTTTAATAAAAACTGTTTTGCCTGAATTGTGGTTTGTAGAAGTTAGAAAACTGGGAAGCATGGCCATGATTCTTCCAGAGCTGTGTCTTGACTTCATATTTAGTGAGGTATTTGTCAACAATTCATTGACAGATTTGTGGCCAGTTTAAAGTTACATTTGACCTGGTAGTGCAAAATTGCAGGTTAGCTGTGTTGGAGAGTCAGCTAAACTCAGTTGTTCCAGGTGAAGAAAGTTCAATTTACTTCTTTACATATAAACTATTTATAGAAGTCAGCTGAATTTAAAATCTAATGAACCAACCCAAATACAGCTGTCTTGGCAGTACTGCTGGAGGATTGCAGTGAGATACACATACAATGATTTGGCAAATGCAGTGTAATATTGAAAAGTAATTTTCAGCATGCCGGTTGATGCTGAAAATAAGCAGTTATGTTGGTGCTCTTAGACAAGGAAGCCAGGAAGGAAAGACACACCGAAGTCAGGATGTGGGTGGTTGATATAGTGCCTTGCCCTTCCAGTTTTGACAATGTAGTAGACCTTTATGAGAATGTGAGATTAACTTCTCTAATAATATTCTCTTATCCCAGGTGTCTCTTTTCTTTCTGTCTTTATTTTTCCTCTGTTCCTTTTGTTAATTTTCATTGAAGTCTGGCTTGAGCTATCTAGGACTGCATGTCTTACAGCGGCAGTATGTGCTGGTAACTTACATAGTGCACTGCATCTCTTGGACTCCTATATCATAATTGGCATAAATTTGCCTAAAGGGCTGATACATTGTATGTGGCCTTGGTTTATTTTTGGTTTGTTTATGGGGGAGTGTTTTTAAGGGGTGTCCTTAAATAAGTTAGATGCAGCCTTGGATTTGTGGTTTCTTACATTTTGTTTCTGAATATTTGTCTTGTTGGAACTTCTTTCTGCTTCATTGAAGGAGGAACTAAAAGCAACTTTGACTTCTGTCTTTGAAGAACAGCTGCACTCTTCTAATTCTACATGAAAGTTTGTTAACAGTGAGGGAACAGGGGAAGGAAGGAATAGATTTGCTCTAGAAGTATCTACAAGTAACAAGGAGTAGCTAATGGACTATTCTGTATTAGAACATTCATCTTGATTCCTTGCACTTCAAATGTTTTTACAACACCTTTTCAACCTCTGTTACAAAGCTTAAAAACTCTCCAATGGTAATTGTGAGAGATGAATTCAGAGACGTTCTTTGTGGTCAAACTCTAGAAGATATATTTTAGGTGGAAAAAGCCAAATGATGCTTCTAACTTTCTTGATGTAAACATTTTAGAAGTCCACTAATTTATTTAATTCCAGCATAAATAGATATGCTCTCATTATGTCTGTTCTTACATATTTAAATTTTTGTTCCAGGGTTTTGCTAGAATGGATTCAGCAGTAGGGTATGAGAAAAGTCAAGACTGGGGATCTACTGGTTTTGGAGGTGTATTTAAGGTGGAGTGGATCCGAAAAGAAAGCATTCCTTTTCAGTTTGCACACCATTTGCTCAACCCTTGGAATGACAATAAGAAAGTACAAATAAGCAGAGATGGCCAGGTAATATTATTCTCTTCTGAAGTCTTTACTTGGTAGAATTATGTATCGTTTATTAGCTTGTTCAACCTTGATGTTCATCTCAACTGTCCTCGTATATCTGTTAATCTGAATCAGAGTTCATTGATCTGCACTGTACTTTTTGCTAATGGAGAATTACTGTTGAACTAGTGGAAACATTGGATAAAATAAAAGAAGTTTATTACTTAATTTGTATTAAAAAAAAAAACAACAGATAATTTAAGTCTGGATGCATCAACAAATGAATGTTTGAGGGTTTTTTTAATTTCAGAGGTTTGTTCCATGTTTGGTTCAGATGTGTTCCCTGAAATAATCTGTCACACCCAAATAACTGTTCATAATTGGAGCTTAGAGTTTTCTGTAAAACCTGAAGAGAATCTTGATATTTGAGATGGAATAAAGCTTAGGACTGTTCTCCACTTTGTTAAATCTAAATTCAACTACAAAAAGACGAAAAAGAATTGGCACAAGAGTTCTCTGGCAGTTTCTGTGTTCTCCTCAGTCCCCTCCCAAAACATATCGTTGGTACAACATTGTAGAGCTAAACTTCTTGTATTGTCTTCTCACTGCTTCCCCAAAACCTCTCCAGTTGTAAGAATGAGGAAAGGAGCATACTGCAAGAACAAGGACAGGAATGTAGCACATGCTGTAGTTGACAGTACTTCTCTTGTAAGTGACTCTTAAGACCTAAAGAATCTCAATGATCCTAAAAACAAGTGGTTTACATTGGTTTATATGATTCCACCAAGAGCCACTGTATGACCTGTAACCTGCCTTTCCACGTTCTCCACCACACTTGATTGAATTAAACTTAAAAGATGTAGAGAATGATAATCTTTAGTTAATGAGAAAGTGACATGTGGAAGGTATGAATTCTGTGGTGGATCTGTTCTTGTATATGGTGGTGATGTGTTCACTGGGAATTCTCTTCATGAGAACTGACACCTTGCAGTGAAGGAAAAAAAACCCAAACAACCTGTAGGCCAGGGTTGCTTATGGAAGTTTTTAATCTCCTGCTGAGCACTTCCTTTGTGAAGAATTCTAATGTATGACTCAAGGGCAAAAGGAACGACCTTTTTCAGAAAGGTTGAAAGCGTTCGCTGGCAACCTCTTCTAAGAATTTTGTAATTAATCATTCTTCTGTGTCAGTAGTAGCAGTGTTGTAAGTTCTCTAATTTCCTGATCATTTCTAGGAGCTGGAACCACAAGTTGGAGAGCAGTTGCTGCAGCTTTGGGACCATATTCCTTCAGCAGGAAAAAACTCAACTGATTAAGCATGTCAGATAATGTGATGGAGGTAGTTATTTCATGCATTGTTTTCTGGTTTTATGATAGAGGAAAAGATATCTACATACAGTGTATTGTTACAGTACTGCCTTTCGCTTGTAGGTTGTGGAAGAGCAGTTGCACTTGGGACTAATTCTCTTCCTTTTGGTTTCTTTTAGCTGTGGTTGTTGGAACATCAGCTCTAACCACAAGAACCAGCAATGTGTCTACAATATAAAGATGAGGAAGAACGTGGCACAACAGATTCCTTCCTGAAGCTGCTAGTCATACTGTGCAGCTAGAGTGGAAAAATAAGAGGGAATTATGTTGGTTTCAGTGTTTCCTTGTCTTAACAAGTGTCAATAACATTATCCACCAATCTGTTTTTGACTGAATTATTTTTTCTACAGTAGCATCCAGTAGATATTTAAAAACATGGTAAAGTTCAACTGATTTTGAAACAATGCAACACCTGTAAGTTATTCTTGGGTTTAAAGTAGCTCAGCAGACTGTTTAAACATGTAGTTCACATTTAAAGACTTCTCCAGTAAAATCCAGTAAAATATGTGAAAGAAACAAGTGTAATGTTAATTAACCAATCTTGCAGTTTGCGTAAAAGAAATAAATTGAGAATACATGGCTCCAAATAGATTAGAGGATTCCATAAGTGTTTGTATGGCAGTGCAAATTTCTATATGACAGTGCAAGAGAGCAGGATATATTCATACAAACACTTAGACAGCTGGAGAATATTACTTTTTAATTTAAATTCATGAGACTTGAGTGTGGGTTAGTCCAGTAGTGTTTCCAGTTTCAAATATTTTTTGCCTTTAAGAAGTACTCACACTTGGATAAGCTGGAACAGTCTTTCAGAGGCCTGTTGCCAAATGGCGGTCTAATAGTTCACTAACTTGGGCATTATTAGAAGATTTTTACTTCTTTTATAAAAAATAAAAAATAATTAGCAGTACCACTTCTGTCATCTTTCAGTGTAATTCATGCTTCCTTTCTATACCTTGTCTTTCAAGTTCTTTTCTTTCTTCCATACTACTGTTGTTTTGCTTTATTTCACTTTTCCGTAGTCTTTAACATACTGTACTATAAGGCTGGTATAAATACAGTCTGTTTATTGTCAGCACTATGTTTGTGGTCATTCTCAGGTTAAGAGCTTTTTCTGCTCCTGAGCTGCTACTTAGTTTCTCACAGGATATTCTCACAAATTTACCCTGTATATTTGTTCTTACATTCTGTGTAGTGACTTCCATACGTAAACTGTCGGTTTTAGTAGGTTTACTGCCAAGACTAGCAGGGTCTGTGTAATGCTGTAATGCCTAATGCAGTGTTTCTGGAGATGGTGCACACAAGGGAGCTCTGAGGCTCGTGTTACCTTATACAGTACTTGCAGACCTGTGCCCACAAAGAAATCTGGGGTGTATTGCCCTGTATAGGATTACGGGTCCCCATGCACTGCAAGGACAGAGCTGGCACAGAAGGAGAGCAGGGGCAGGCGTAGTGTTTGGTTAAGGAGCCTGAAGAGGGCTTCTGCGGCTTGATGATAAGAACAGTCCAGCCAAGGACTTTGCATTCCTCAAGGGCATTGTCTGATGAGGTAGGTCTCTTGTTTGGAGAAGAGATTGTGCCCTGCTACCTGAGTCACAGCCACAGTCATGTAATTTTTGGCATGCCCAGATGTTATGTCTCACCCAGTCTTGAAGGATTATTTGACTTGCTCTTGTAACAACCCAGGTAATTGTACTACCGATCTGTATTTTTGCCAGTACTGTTTTTTGGAGATGGACTGTTTGTCCCTGAAGCTGTTGGTCTGGTGTTTGTAACCGTATTCTGTAACTTGGCACGGCTGCCTTAAGCCCTTACACTCTGGTGTTAGAAGTCGGATGTGATACACTGCATCATGGGCAGCCCTGACCCTGTAGCAGGTGCCTCAGTTTGATTACTTCGGGACTTTGCCATGCCCATGCATGTCAGACTCTACTTTGATTAGAGCAAGTCAGATGGATGGAAACACAAAGGAGAGTTCCCCTTATATCTTTTAGAGATACTGAGCAGGACTTGAAGCAATGCAGTTTACTACTTACAAAAAGATCCATCCCTTACCCAGCAAGACCCTGGGGCTGTGATAGAGGAGAAGGCTTTAGCCCCTGTCTGTGTTAAAAGCCATCAGACTAATGTGGGGAGTAATGCGTGATCCTCCAGGTAACAGTATCTGCCTGTGAAACATTTGATCATTGTCTGGAGGCTGTGGAAAAGGAACTTTCTTTATGTAGAGTCCCAGAAGACAGGAATAATACTTCATCTGATTCAGGTTCAGACAATGCTGTGTCAAGTTCCTCCCAAATGGAGGACTTGGTAATCTAACCAGTTGTTAAAACAGAATGTGATGCTTGACAGGTACCACTATATGCTCTTTCACAAGCACTGATGTAACCGAACTAAGCGGATGCTGTCACAAATCTGTTACTGTAAACTATTTAAGCTGGCTGGCAAATATGTTATACAGCAGATGGAGGACACCATTTGAGTTTCAGACTGGAAAGCCTGGAGTCTCACTTTGGGATCTGGGATCCAACTACAGTTTCCAGCAGGAAGTGCAGATACTCTCTTCCAGGCGGCACTAGGACATGTTCAGAGAAGTACCCCAAAATGATTGAGGACCCCTGGGCCAGTCCCACAGATTTGGACTGAGTTTGGCCAGGGTGGTCATCAGTCATGCTTTAGAAGTAGCACCTATGGCAGAGGAACATTGTGTGGACATTGTCCCACCTGTTCCTTAAGTGCCTGCTAATCAAAAAAGGTCCTGGTCCACTTGGAGCACATTTCAATAGGCACTGGCCCTACAGGCACAGGAACCAACCTCACATGGGCTCATCTCTTACAAAAGTTAGTGTCTGGAGAACAGATCTAGTGGACTTTTCTTGATGTTGCTGAAGCATTTGAATGTTCATAATTCTGCTTGCTTTTAAATGATTTGAAAGAAAAAGCTTTGAGAAGCTTCCCTCTGATCTCTCTCATTGGATGATTACTGTTATGGCGACCTTGCAGAGAGACTCCTTTATTTTCTGCACTGTCATCCATACAAATTTAGTAGGTTTCATCTAGTAGAAATAAGGACATCTTTATGGCTAGCCATCACTTCAGTTAAATTGTTGCAAAATGTCTGTACAGTTATTTCACTATGGAGCAATTATTTCCCCATAGTTCTTTCTGCAGAATCCTCTGCTCTGGTTTCATGTTGTGACTGTAAGACCACAGCTTTGAATGTTTTGGAAAACCACTCCTTACAGCCGTCAAGCACCTTCTGGTTTCCTAACCTTGTGTATTGACATTCTTTGTTTTCACTTTGTATCACCTGGGTCCCCAAGGAGACAGATCTTGGTAACCATGTGTCTGATATTACCTACAGTATCATCCCTGGAAGAACTTCAGGGCTGCACCTCTGTACTGGGATTTTTAGGGACACCTCATCTGGCTGATCATGGCTGAGTGTGATTAAACTTGGTGAAGTGAAAACTAAAGCAGGATGAAGGCCACAGAGGTGAATGTATCTGAAAAGACAATTTTTATCTATGACGACAAATGGGAGAAATAGCCCATCACCATCTTCTGTGCAACAGTAAAAATCCCATCTTGGAGGTTGTAAGCCAGGAGTGATTTACTCTGCTTTAAAGTAAATGAAGTTCTTGCAAGCAAGACCATTGCCCATAAACACTGGAGTGAGGAGAAAGGAAACATAAATGGAGGACAACCAGAGGTTTGCAAATTTTTTTCATACATGAAAACTTAGCAGTACTGATTCAGGGCAATTCTTGTCATGTTCCTCAATGCAGCAGGTAAGATCTTTGCCAGTGGCTCATGGGAAAACGCTGAGGTGTGCTGCCTTCTCTGGAACATAATTCTGAAAATAGGTAAAAGTGGCAAGCTGTTTTGCCACAGACAGAATTTGATTCCTTTTGCTAGGAACAAAAGTAAGTTTGTTAAGTATTTTTTAAGGGTTTTTTTTGTTAAATATTTTACTTTTATAAAAATCTTACATTTCTGTTGGTTATTTGTTGCAACTACTTATTCCAATATTTGCTTTTTTAAATTTTTTTTGCCACTATTGAACTGGTATAATTTTTGCTCCATCATCCCAACAGCTATAAAGACATTTCCTCTGGTCCTTGTGGGTTTATTTCCTACTGTGAGATTTTTTGCAGTTTCTGTCAAAATGAAATCACAGCTCATAACTGGCAGATTTCTCTGAGCTGATTGGATCAGTCCATATTTACCCTGGGATGCTTTGTCTTTAAAGTGAATTAGAGTGGTTTCTGCAATTACTAATTTTCCCTCCTTTTTTTTCTCATGTGGAGCTGAAGTGGTTGTCCCAGAGCAACCACTTTCTAGATGTATTCAGTCACTGTCTGAATGACATTAGCTGTTAAAAGAAATTTTTGTCACTGGGCTCTCATCTCCATCTGTTGGATGTATTGGCACAGATCAATTATGATACCTAGTAGCTTGATCTTGGTGCCTTAAAAGAGAGACCCCATAAAAAGGAATCCCTGGGCAATTATGCACTTGCAATCTAAACTCCCCATCCCTCATGTGACAGTCCAGACCAACACCATTATTAGAGTCTGGGGTCTTTTTGCTCTTTGTTGCCTCACTGTTTTGTTACCAAGTGGTTGCTATGTGATCCCCTTCACATCCTCTTAGGTTGGTTTTGGTAGGGGTCAGTTCTGTAGTCCATGGTACAATCTGATTGTTGCAGTTCATAGACTGTGATCTCTGAGTTGTCTGGTCCAGCTATTAATTTTTAACTAATATTTGGGGGATAACCATGTCTATTATAACTGTTGTTAGTGTTCATATTGTTAGCTCCAGGTTTCACTATGATCTATCTTTGACTTAGACATAGTCAACATATATAGTTTAGATAAAGTTCAACTTGTGGCTTAACAATTTTAGCTACTTCTGTCAAGCAAGCACTTAGCTACTTCCAAATAATACAAAATTTTAAACATTAGTAGTTTGTTTCCTGTTGCTCTACATTTTTCTTCTAGCACTTAGCTGCACTGTTACCTTTCCTGTGGATCGTGCTATGTTGCTTTCAGCCTTCTCTCAGCTGTCTCTGTTGCATCTTCTAACAGGTACCACGGGCCAGAAGGTGGGTGATGCTGCTCTGGATTAAAAGCTTTATTTGTTGTTTTGATTCTTTTGACAGATGTTGAAAGGGTGTTGCCTAGATCAAAAGTGTAAATCTAGGTTTAAAGAAAAATCATGAAAGTAGACTGAGGGAATACCCTCAGTAGAGAATAAAAATTAAGAGTCCTGAAGATATTAAATAGCATGCCCATAATTAAATCAGGCAATTCAGAAAGGTTGTATTTTATTTGTGTCAAGCCCAGAAGGAGTTTTAATGCTAATTTCATACCTTGGGGAATGTGAAATCATTATTTTTTGCCTTGTGTTGTATAGTGCATAGCTCTGAGATTCACAAGCTGATCTTGTAAGTTTGCCTATGTGAGTGGTCATATTGTATTTGGTACTGTTGATATATGAGCAATGGTTGTAGCTCGAGGCTCTTAAATAATATGCCACTTTGTTCTATCCATATGGAATGTCTGGGGAAGCCTAGCAGCAGTCAAATAAGATTAAGAAATAGGGAACAAAACACAATTGCCAAAATTGCTACTATATGAGGATGTTCTGGACACTGGGCAGAAACTGTGAATGAAATTGAATGAAAATAGATTTAATAACTTCTACTCTTGTAAACCGTATTGATAATCTGTTTTAAAAGCAAGCTTTGTGGAAATAGGTACTGACTCTGTGCACTGACAAGCTTTCTGTGAATTTTAGCTTATAGTGTGTCTAGTTAAGAGCACAAAACTTCCTTTCTTTGATTGCTTTGATGAGTCTTTTCAGATTAAGCATTTCTTTTCATACTCATGCTTCTTGTATTAGTTTAAGTGCAGTTAGTAATGAAGAAATCTGTCTTGCAACTCAACAATTTCAGCATTTCAATGGCTGCTGCTTTCAACAACTTATCCACTGCTAAGTTCCAACATGCCCTAAACCAAAGTACAAAATAAGATTTCATTGCTGTAAGAGAACTGCTGTGCTCTATTCATAGCTTTTTTATGAAAATGGGATCTACTTTTTATTCTAGGGCAGGCCTAGGGAGTAAAGCAGAAGTACCAACCTAGGAGGAAGAGAAAAGAGAAAAGGGCCACAGGACACCTCAGAAACAGGCTGTGAAGCTTCCGAGAGACCCATGGACTGATGCTTTAGCTTATTTTCCTGATTACCTGGTTGAATTTTTCTGATTTACCTGGTTGACTGGAACTGTTAATATGTATATGGTGTAGGTTTTATGTGTGAATTTTGCTGGTCTTCTCTCTTCAGAGGCACTGAGAAAGTACGTTGCAAAGTTCCGTGGCCTAGCCTGGACATCAGAGACTGCAGTAGCCGTAGTCATAGTGCTCCTTAGTCTGAGGTTGAGGTAAGGTTTAGCTGCCTAGCTCTGCTTTTGTTTCTCTTTAGAGCATTGAAGCTGGATGAGATCAGAAAGTGATTAAAAAAACCGCACCATGCTGTGTTTCCCAGGTGAAGTAGACAGAATTTGCTGTGTTGTCTCCCAGTACTCAATTTTAAAAACCACAGAAAACATGCTTTTGTCAGACTTGAAACCTAATGGGAATGTGCCAGTTCCCATTTAAAAGTGAGGACAATTTTGTTCGAACAGACACCCTGTTTTAACACTCCTAGAAAGGAAATACTGCTGAAAAGGGGAAATTTTAACTTCCCAGGCACATCATCAGTAAGTGGCAGAGCCCTGATCTCCTAAGGTTTGTTTTAATAGATGTTGCTTCACTCAGTAACAAATCAAACCAACAAGAGATGTTGTCCAGCTTTGGTAAATGTGGACACAAGAGTTATAGGAAGTATCCATGGGTGGAAAGGTCATACCAGTTGGTATAAGGTGGAAGAATGGAAGGAGAAAGTAGCTCTGTTACGCTCCTGTGAACACCAATACTACTTTTTAAAAAAATTTTTTAGGTGAGATGTTTCCTGAACTCTGAACATGTCAGAGCTGTTGAATTGTTTGTATTCTCTGTGGTGAGACACCAGACGAGCAGGGGTGGTACAGGAAGAAGCATTTACTTTGAAGGAATACAGACGATGGTGTCAGAAAAAATAGGGCTCCAAAGATCCTTCAGAGTGAAGCTAGGTGGTGCAGTTGACTAGCACATGAGTTCCAGTCCCCTGAGGACTGTTTAAAATGAAACCTAGTTTTATTAGCAGTTGCAAATAAAGTGGCCTCTCCTCAGGAAAAGTAGTGAATTATGGTAAGGAATTTGTATTATTAGCCTGCTGCTTTTTGTCTGACATACCCATGAGTTTTTACTTCTCCAAAAAGGAGGATGATGAGAGGTGGTAGAGTGCAGGTAGATATTAGAAGATGTGTCTTCGGAACTGTTATTAAATACTTGTTAATTTTTTTTCTCCTCCATGGAAAGCAGGCATTATTAGACAAGCAATAATGATATGTTAGTTATTAAAGGCTTTAAATAGTAATTTTCTTGTGTAAACATTACTAATTACCTGCAAGAAATGATGAATATGAGGATGGTTTTTCTAAGTAAAAAGGTCAGCTCAGGACAGGGCTCAGGACAGGGCTCAGGATCCAGGTTCCAGCCGTGGTGCCCCAGACTCTTCACCAGCTCTGTTACCCTTCTTTTTGTTACACCTTCTCTGTTCTTTAGCTTAGTCTATTTATTACCTCTTGGTCCCTCAGCACTTGAAAAATATAAGTCCTTGCCTAGCTGAAATGCAGATACCAGTAGGCTTCTCTGTAACACTGATCTCTGCTTCTTGCTATTTCTGTTGTCCTAAAGCAATTTTGGTTTACTCTGTTTCAGTTGTAACCTTAAGAGTCGTCTCTTAAGAGTGCAGGAGACAGCAGTTCCAGTGTGTCTGAGGTCAAGAAAGTGAGGCAGGCCAGCTGAGCTGAGCTTAGCTGAGCAGGGATTTTCTGCGAGAACTTAGGTGGAAAAGGAATGTGTGGGCATTGGAAACAAGGCTGAGTAACATGAGAGTACTATACGGGTGCTGTTCACCACTGTTGGGAGAAAAGTTTTGCAATCAAAGCTTGGTAAGAATTCAAACTGGCCAGCACTGAGAAGGATGACAATAAGGTTTTTAAAAGATGTTAACAGCAAAAGGAGGATCAGAATTAACATTAGTTTGTTGCTTGACAAGGTCAGACATCTCACAAGTAGGGAGGTAGACAAAATGGAAACATTTAATGCCTTTTTCACTGAGGTTTTCAACACTAGTGCTGGGCCCTGGGAGCTCTGGAGCCTGGTGTTGGAAGACTTTGACTTGGTGGATGATAAACTCGCAGCCAACCCTGAACTTGTTTAAACCTTGCTGCACCAGCTGGACATGCATAAATCTGTGGCACGCAATTGGATTCATCCCCAGTACTGAAAGAGCTGGACAAAGCTACTGTGCATTCTCTTTCAGTTATTTTTCAATGGTCTTGGGAGTCCCAGCTAACTGGAAACTATCAAATATTGTCCCAATTTTAAAGAAGGATAACAAGAAAGATACTGGTAATTACAGGCCTGTCAGTTTCACCTTAGTGCCTGGTAAAGTTCTGAGTAGGTTATTCCTGGAGGTACTGAAAAACACTTAAGAGACAACACAAGTCATTGGCCACAGCCAGGGTTCATGAGGGGAAGGTCCAACTTTAATTTTACTTTTATAACAAGGTCACACATCTAGTTGACCAAAGGAAGCCAATAGATGTGAGGTTTTTTGGTTTCAGTAAAGTTTCTGATACTTTCTGTAAGGACTTAAAGAGCACAGTTGCCTGTCTCATACACTCTCCGCCTGAAGGAACTTGACATAGATAAGACACCACAGCAGGAACTTAAGATAAGCACAGAAGGGAGGAATTTGCAACAGGAAGGTGCTAATTCTGGACCTGTCAGAGGCAAGATCTGATTCGTACATCCTGGTTAATGCATCTGGAAAAAAATTCCCACTGTGGTAAACTGTAAAGGAAGCAACTGCTCATACACACGCCACCCCAAGTTATGGGAACAGCATCTGCAACCATTCCATGGATACCTGGAACTTGGACTGTATAAAGGTGGTACCTGTGGAAGAATGACTCCCAGGACCCCCATCACCAAGAAACCCATGGTGAAGAAAGACCAATGGGCTGCTGCTGGATCTATGGGTGGTCTGCTTGATCTCTTTGTCTCCCTCTCTCCCCTCTCCTCACCTTTTCTCACGTTCACTGTTAAATAAAATCTGTATTATAGACTTTAGCATATGGGCTCATTTGGATCTTAATTCAGGCAGAGGCATTTCTCGCTAACTTCTCAGAATGTCCTGGATAACCTGTGCAGCACACAGCTAGACAAGCCCATAATATATTGGGTGAGCAACTGGCTGATGTGTTGGGCTTATAGTAAATGGGGTGGTATCAGGCTAGTGGCTAATCATCAGTGGATTTCCAGAGTGTTCAGTTTTAGAGCAAGTATTACTTGAGAATTTTATAAATCCAGATAAATTGAAGGTACATTAAGTAAGTTTGCTAATGATACTAGACTAGGAGGAGCTGTGGACTCCTTCAGTGGTAGAGAGGCCTTGCACAGAGATCTGGATAGACTAGAGAGCTGGGCAGTAACCAACCATATAAAATTCAATAAAAGCAAGTACTGGATTCTGCACCAAGGGTGGGGCAACCCCAGATGTACAGACAGACTGGGGAATGAGATGCTGGAGAGCAGTGCTGCGGAAAAGGACCTGGGGATCCAGCTCAGTGGCAAGTGGAATATCAGTCAGCAGTGCCTTGGGAGCCAGGAGGGCCAACCGTGTCCTGGAGGGTGCCAGCTGGTGGAGGGAGGGGATTGTCCCTGTGCTCTGTGTTGATGTGGCCTCACCTCAAGTCCTGTGTGCAGTTTTGGGTACTTCAGTATAAGGAGGACATCAAACTGTTGGAGTATGTCCAGAGGAGGGTGACTGAGATGGTGAAAGACCTCAGAGGCAAGAGGAGCAGCTGAGGTCACTTGGCTTGTTCAGCTTGATGAAGAAAAGGCTGAGAGATGACCCCATCACAGTCTACAACTTCCTCAAGGGGGACAGCAGAGGCTGATCTCCTGTCTCTGGTGACCAGTGATAGGACATGAGGAAATGGAATGAAACCGTGTCAGGAGAAGTTCATATTGGACATTAGGAAAAGGTTCTTCACTGAGAGGGTGGTCAGTCACTGGAACAGGCTACCCAAGAAAGTCTACCAGATTTGAAGGAGTGTCTGAACAATGCTTTTATTCATATAGTTTACTTTTTGGTAGTCCAGGAAGGAGCAGGGTCTTGGACTTGATGACACTTTATGGGTCCCTTCCAATTCGAGATATTCTGTCATTTTCTCTGTTCTCTTTTTTGTGCTAGTTCTATAAAGAGTTAGTAATTAGGTTTTCAAGAAGAGAAACAGTTCTGTGTGCATTGCAAAGGAGCATTCCTGCTTTCAGTAGCTGCTATAAACAGCCAAAGAAGAGATGAGAAAGTTAAATAGTCTTGTACTTGCTTGAGACT